CACACACTCACTGGCCGATGTCAGAGTCTGCGATTGGAGCGATGGAGCGGTCAAATGTGAATCGCGCGATTCGCGCGATCGCGCGATTGGCACATTTCCCAAATCATGACCAATCGCTCCAATCGCGCGATGGGCGCGATCACTCCCGTTGTGGCAGGGAGCCAGCTCCGCAGTCAACGTATCGATCGAGGGGGGCGCGCCATTGATCGCTCCCTGCCACAACGGGAGTGATCGCGCCCATCGCGCGATTGGAGCGATTGGTCATGATGGGAAATGTGTCAATCGCGCGATCATCGCGCGAATCGCGCGATGGTCGCGCGATTGGCATTTGACCGATCGCTCCAATCGCAGACTCTGACATCGGCCAATCGAGTCGGTGCAACGACTTGCTCGAGTAGAGCATGGCTGGCTTGTGCACTTTTGCGAGCGCGATCGCGATCGCTCCATCGCTTGTCCGTCGCTTGCCAATCGCTCTCGGTCGAGCGATTGGCAAGCGATTGCGCGACGGGCGATTGGCCCCGCCCCCAGTCAATGCAGTCGGCTGCGGTATCGATCGAGCAGAGCCATTGCCCGTCGCTTGTGCACTTTGCAAGCGATTGCGCAATCGCTCCATCGCTTGTCCGTCGCCGACTATGACGTCGGTCTCACAGTCTTTCTCTATAGCGACCACTCCCACTTTTTCGATGTCTTGAATACAACATGCTCAACGTGGAAACCCGCACGATTTTATTCTTCGAACTATAATTAGGGCAGGAGTAAGCGGAATCATGTATCAGCCGCTGACAGAAGAGCCAACTCTGCAAAAATTGAACATACTGGGGTACTGAACGACGCCGCAAAAGTCCTGTTCAATAGGCTTCTCCACAATTCACCGCCACTTTTCAACCTTTGTTTAGATAGTCTCATTGAAAAGAGAGCTAACCTGCTGGTGAAACGGCCTCGGCTAGTTCATCGCTTCAGTACTCCAGTACTTCCAACGAACGATTGATCAAACTTATTGAATGTTGGCGAAGAGAAATAATTGCAGTGGTTTTACGCGAACGAGCATGCTGTGTGAGTCGAGATATGACATTTGAATTTTGAGTCAGGAACGGCAAGGTCTTTCCCTACAACCTAATAGGTGATAGGCGACCGTAACAGTATAAAACTAATACATTCAACTGTGGATGAATTCTTGGTGATCGCGCGACTAATTACCGGCCGCTGAGCCTTGCGACGCACTCCTGGTTGGATCTCCTTCCATTCCCAACATTCAGCAAAACGGGAAAGAGATCTCGTCCTTTTCCCAACAATCATCACACGGCCCCACTCGTGTGCAGAAAGGAAACGCATTAACTGGCTTCATCAGTACATGAAGAAGACCTTTTCCTTTCTTCTTCTTCCACCACTACCTCGGAAAATCATCCCTGTAGACTTGCGAGATCGAAAATTTGTATTTTCAAGCTATACAAGCTGAAAGGAGAGCGAGTCAACTGCAGCGATCGCACGCATTGTTATTCATGGCAAACGTAGTACATTCATATCCTTAACATACTGTTTCTTATCCTGCGAGTGGACACTACAGTAAGGTAGGAAAAGTGATTCAAACACTCACGAAACACTTCACGAACTAACCTGGTCGTCCACTTCGAACGGATGATCTGTTTGATCCATGATTTTTAATCTGATATTCATCCGCATTTTACTGAAAAGAATACACTAAACGTCTTTATAGATTTCTTTGCGAAAACAAAAAGTCAAGAGTTATGCAGAACTAATACACAGTCTCGATCAAGATCAATGAGAAGAAATGAATGCTTCGCTTTTCCAGCTTCCTCTCATACAGTGTGCTTGTAAATTTCCATCTTCTGGATCAGGCTAGAGCATCCTGCTTTTGAAAAGCAAAATGGAAACTTGTATGCGGAAGTATTGCGCACGCCGCAGAGATAACCAAATATTTTATTGGAAATGCAATGAAAACAGAATGAGATTGTGATAAATGAGAAGAATAGAAACATTTCCGTGTTTTTTCCAACTCATAATTACCATTGACAAAATTTAAAACTAATGTGGAAATGAAAACCTTCCAGGCACCAGTTAGAATTATAGCTCGGCGCAAATTGGAACTCAAAAGGTTTATAAGAATCACATGTAGAGATTATTCTTTGTGATCAATCTGCGCAGGGTCAGCGCAATTACAGATACTCAAACTGCCGAAAGCTTAACATTCTGGAATGTTTCGATTACGCCCTACAGCATGCCAAGGGAACAAAGGTATTGCTCTGCGATTAGCGGCTTGTCGTAGGGTAGAAAACGGGAGAAAACGGGGAAAGCATTTCAGTCCCGGAAGAAAGTTCAAATGGCTCTGCGTCAGCGTGGCGGTTCTCGCGTGGCAGTCGCAAAAAAAAGAGTCACTTTGCCTATGGCGCACATCATCAAATTTTTCTTCGCAGAATGCCGCAGCTAATGAATGTTTTACGGCAGAATATTCCTTAGGTGTCCCCCATAAGCAGAAGCAGCCCCTACTTCAATGCCCTCACGGTCTTCAGAATATGACGTCATCTGCCGTCGCCGTCAAGCTCAACGGGGCTTACCGTAATCGCTCCGGCCTGAAGCTGCAACCTAATTTCTTCAATCGGTTAAGCGGTGAATAGCTTCCCAGAGACACTAGCTGTGACTGTGCAAGACCGCTTTTGACCAGCGTTTCAGGGACGTCGTAATGGTCTATGGTACCTCGACGACCTCGTTGAGCTCGTACCGTGAACCATGTTTCCGTGGGAAAATCTTCTGATGTCGTCGGTGTAGAAGGCTGTCATGTACTTTTTGATAGATTAGAATGTGCTCTTTAATATGCAATTGGGCTCATTTGGTTTGGTTTCGCAGTTCGTAATTAATTCCGTTTTGAATGTGGAGAGAAGTGACTCTTTTTTTGCCCCCCCCCTGTATACTAAAGGGGATACATACAGTAGGAGCAATTTGCCACTAGTTAGGGAAGAGGCACGCGGCGCTCTGTTGGTGTGCATTCTCTAGAGGGAATTCGTCATTGGATATCCCTATTTTAGGACTAGGCGTTCATGGGCTTGGGAGGGGGCATTCAAAACAGGGTCGGTGGTAAGTGAAACGGACTGAGCGTAGGAGAGTGGAGAACCGACGCCACGGAGCACACCTAAGGTCCACATCCTCCCCCAGAATCCCTTCACCACCTTGAGGCTAACCAGGAAGGTCTTTCAGGGCGTGCCAAGCTTTTTGAAAACGGTCTTTTGCATGATATAGGGGCACATGCGGGAACCACAGAACCATGGTTAATTTTTCCTGAACGGCCCTCTGAATACCAGAAAAGGGGTCCTGGTTCGATTCCTCGCGTGACAAATTTTTGCATTTCGGGTTGGCGTCTCAGAATTTGCGCAAAATGGCGTCAGTGCAAGAATGGATGTCATTTGCATAATAAGAACCGTCACCAACTCTCACAAGTAGCTTTTGTTCAAAAAACGGGTCCTGGCATTTGTGACCCCAAAAGGGCACCAATGTAGCACAAAATGGCGTTATTACGGCTTCAGATGATGTCCACACCAAAACAAATGCCATATTCGTAACCACTGAATAACCCCTATATCCGAAACTGCAAGCAAAACAAGATTTTGACCCAACTTCGAACTGTTGGACCATGGGTAAGCCACTAGCCTAGCTATCGGGCCTGACGGTAGATGAAAGCGATCTCCTCGTATCTAGAATCGGGCTCTAGAAACGAGAAATCCTGAGCTGCAATGAGCAATGGACAGCCATGCCGGTGATGGCCGATGGACCACGCACGAAGAGTGGGTCACTGTTTTCCTTCCTTCAAATAGTGGCATGTTGAAGTTTTGGCCCTCATGGCTAGGCCTCTGGTCGGTAGAAAGATGTTTGTCTCCGTGTTTATCACGAAGAGGATATCCTACGAATCAGTCGTGTTGGGAATCGTATAACGCACGAGATCTAATAACGAGGACGTTAAACTAACGAACTTTGAAAGAAAAGGCAGGTTGAGACGGCCTTCACCGTGACTACTAACTGACTGCAAGCCGTACTGCACTAGAGGAAGACTTGAGTTCCGCCGAGCACTGTATTGATGTGGCTGCGGTTCGCTAGTCGAGGCAACTAGTTCATTATCAGTCATCACAAAGCTTTCCTATGAGAACGGCAAAAAAACACGAGCGTAATCAGATAGGAGCGGGCAGATGTTGTGATGTTTGAATTCCAGACTGAGAAAAAGCTTGTTCGAGGCAAAGGGCAGAGTGCAACATTTCTACAGTCGCTGAAAAAGCTGAGGGAAAATGGCTGTGGACGTTTGAATTTTGCCCTTTTGTGTATGAAGCAGGGGCAAAAAGAGAGGGTGAATAATTTCCCAGAAGAAGAAGCTGGACGTTTGAAAATAGCTGAGAGTACTGTAGAAATTAGAGCGAGTAAAAACTGAGCTGAAACTGCCGCACTGGGCTAGGTGGGACTAATAGAATAATAATGCCAAAGAGTAAAGAAGTGGGTGGGCTCGTTGAGTGTAACAATTATGAAGAAGACTATAATGAGGTCGTCAAGTACTTGGCGTAAGCGGCTTGTGGCAGAAATGCGATCTGTTGCGGCACATCTGGTGGCGAGGTTTGAAGGATGGGTACGCCGAACAAGGCAAGAAAGAAAAGTTTGAATTGACCCTCAAGTGTCTGTTGCATGGAGCTCGCGGTAGCGTGCCCCCTTTGTGCATGCGCGGCGCGTTCTCTCTTTGGATGCCGCCTGTTGTGACCCTTATGCGATTACATATCGATTCCTCAAAAATAAATTACCTGAACGAATTTCATGGTTACGTCTTACCTGAAGTTTTCATCATATGAGGGTATACTCGAATACAAGGTATGGATTTCCCAGTCCCAGCGGCGACGGGGATTTTGTGCGCACTTACCGTGCTGATCTGTATATTTCCGACGGAGCTCCGTTTTTTTTTGCCGTTCCAGGCTTCCTGTTCAGTGCAGCGACACAACAATTCACAATAATTAACTACAAGAGCTGTGTGGTGGGGAGACGAAGAGAGCGGTATTTTTCCGGAAGTTCCGGGCCCTTGGAATCCCCCCGAGGCTCATCTTCGTGATCCCACCACAAGAGCCCCCCGGCCGGGGCCTGAACCGGTCATCTCTCCGAGGAGAGGAACTACGACTACACTACTTACCTGCCCTTCCGAGCGGGGACCGCGGCTCCAGTTGGAGACCGCACTCGCTGCTACCAGTAATGATCCGGCCCATAGGGATCATTTTACTCTAACTTCTGGCCCCTGGTCATGACCCAAAATAAAGAAACTACGATCAACTCACAAACGGATTTATCCTTAATACATCAATAGCACTGGAACGAGATCCGCAGAATAATACAAACACAAGACACTCAGCGAAACAACAATATGCAGTACGAATATGGGAAATACAGTGCGCGTCAATTGTATATGCCACCCCCTTGATTTTTCAGTTTTCTGACTTATTTGGAAATTTCGTAAATCGGCATAGCAACCATCGTTTTCGGCGTGTCGGAAAACTAAGAATGGTGTTGTTTGATTTTGGTTAACGCGTGGATTTGAATTGCTCTGTTCTTTTGAAGAAAATGGGCCGCGTCAATTGCTTATGCCATCCCTAAAGTTTCTTCAGAATTTCTCATGTCTCTAACGCTATTCAGCTACGGTGTGCATGTCATACAAATGAGGAAGTCCTCCACTTATGCAACGCGCATAAGTGGTGAAGCATTCATGACTAGTTAGTTTGGAACATTAGCCCTAATACTGGATGGTAGCAGCATGAAAACGCTTTATCAGAAAAAGAGCAGTGTGCTCTTTTTTGGCGACCGCTCCTGCTGCTTGTTTTTAGAACTCATAGAGGAGTGTAAAGGCAAAACTGG